CTGGAAAAACTTGCAAAGCTAACCCTATTCATAGTATACGGGTATACCATACATGTATACCAAAAACTCCAGTATCTAATATTCATTACTACACCAAGGGTTCCAAACAGTGCATCACAAGTACATCTTGGTTTCAGATTATTTAAATTATCGTGATGTAACTACTACTGCTCACTTATATATATCTGATCAGCATTCAAGAACTCAATTGTTTCTTGAAAAACTTACTTTCCCCTTCATTTTTCACGAAATGATCATCTTCTGGAAGTAAGTACTATACTTTTCTGGTGTTGATTATTGATGATCTGTTTGATTTCAGATGATTCGTATGATCGATCTTATGTCGAAATGTTTGGGCTTGACTAACTTCTGTCCGCGACTTCGTATATACATAGATTTCAGAAATGAAATGCCGTCTATAAAAGTATGTTTACTAAGAGGACGTACTTAAGTAAAAAACTACAAAATTTGCGAGTCTAACATATCAATAGCCTGATGTAGAATTTTAGCTGTTCATCTAACTTTCAATTAACTTGCAATGTAGGTATGTAGTAAGTACCAAATAATGCAACTTAAATAAACCCTGGACATTAACATGTATAATATTCACGTTAAAATTACCATTACATTTCTTAATTAAGGAATCAATAGATGTGCTTCCTGGGATAGGCGTGGATATAAAAAATGTTGAGTTTCCTTACTCTTGGAAGAAATCGCCTCTTGTAACTCATGTGCTAGTGATGTTGATTGCGTTGCCATAGAATATAAGTTTTTGTGGTTGACGCACCCGTGAAAAATCTTCTTATCATTGTTGACGAAGATGAAATGAGCAATTTGATGCTGATAAAAATCTATATGACGTTCGTATGAATATCGACTACCGATATTCATACAAACGTCATACGAACGTCATACGAGTATGTCAGTTTTCAGGATTGTTTACGGAACAATATATCTTCGAAAAATGAGGTTAAGTGGATGCCGGTGAGGTTACCTTCTAGCATTATCTTAGCAATTGAAACAAGAATGAACAACTCTGATTAAACGCAATTCAACTATACCTAGATTATTCCAAAAGTGTCTGTTTTATGTCAACTTGACCAAGTAATTTAAAAAAAAAGTTTTGGGATATGAAGTACATTATTATGTTGTTGAACTAAGCAAAAAATAAAAATGATTTGATAAAACATAATAATTCACATGATACAGCAAACATCCATCTGGATAGGATGATTCGTGAAGAGAAGTGCTCAACAGGGACTTATTAAGTATATTCACTGAAAAAATTTGTTGAACTGAAAAATTGCAACGATAAATACATAGAACAATAATTATATGTGTAATATATCGCAGTTCTCATATGCGCTTCTTGAACAAAAAATTACGAAGAAGTAATGACTAGTGAGCAAGTGCGTTATCGTGATGCAAACGCTATGAATTGTTTTTCCACAATATCATACATTTTCTTCGTATTGCTTCTCGCAAACAGCGGCTAACTCCAGGATAATACTCCTTATTGGCCGTACAACCAAGTGACGAGAACTCCTGATACACTACTCCACGTGATAGAAGGAAAGAGTGAGCAAAACTTTGTTGTTTGATCGAGTTTGGCGGGTTTTTTAGTCTTGGCTCCATTGGGCTCTTCCTTTGGGAAGATTGGAGTTTTGTTTCGATGTCATAACCATATACCCATGATTCATCAGCAGTTATGGCCCTTTCAAGCAAATAAAAAATTGCCATTGACGTCATTCACTAATTGCTTAGCGATGCTCATGCGACGGTTTTTTTGGTCAAAACAATTTTGCCCAATGTTTTCGAAAAAAATCCGTGGCATGAGCCAAGAGATAGCCGACATCCTCAGCAACTTCTCTAATAGTGATTCTCCATAACAATTTTTCGCGGTGCAGCTAAGTGTAAAGATGGGCAATACTTGTTTGCCGAAAACAATTAAGATCGCATTTTGAAACACTACACTTCCGTTGCACCGACACATTGACGACCTGGGTTCAATTTTCGTACCGATGTTTTTTTGATTCAATTTTTTCCAGCTGCTGTGACCTCTAGGACCACGTGACTGTTGAGCGACAGGGGGACTCAGGGATGAAGCCCTAAGAAGGCCTGAGCGGCAAGATTGAGTCCCAAACGGGCCCAAGTCCACGCTCTTATCTTTGAATCTCTCCGATACCCATTCCACCCTTCTCTGCCTTAATGACGTCACAAGTTTACCTCTCCAACTCACTCAACTTTTGAGGATTTCTTTTCAACAATTTAATGCGATAAGCGGTTTCGAAATCTGAAGAGCATTTCTGCTGCAGTTTGATTGAATGCAAAACAGATTGTGTTGCGGCCTGTCACCTATGATGACATTCGTTTCTATATATACCTAATGTTGCATTTGCTATTTACATTTCGCTTATTTCCTTTTCTGGACTATGACAAATGAGTTTCGCGTTCTTGAAACTGGATGGCAGCGTTTTTTCTCGCAGACGCCTAAATGTGTTTCATTTGCGTAAAAGTGTCAGCTACTTTCTGTTTTCTAGGCGATTATAGTCCCTTCCCTTGAGTTTTTGCAATTCACGGCCCAGACTTTCCGGTTCCTAACCTATCTCAATAAATGATTAGTATTGATTATCATTAGCTTTATTGAATGAAATAGATAAACCAAACAAAAGTTTTTCAGGCTATTCAACATATGCAGCATTGTGCTATTTAATTATCAAGAACCAAACCTACTTCTCTGTACGTATTTTCATTGGGCCACTTGGGAGTCTTTGTAACCATAAAAAATAATGACAAGGTATATATTCGAACAGAAGAGTGTTCAATTGGTGGAACAACAACTTCCTGAAAAGACCAACCTAGCAATCTTCATGCACCAGATAGCTATTATGATAGAAATTGTATCAATAAAATCACTCAAGGTTGACAACTGATATAAAAATAAAAAATAATATATGTAACTTCATCAGAAATGAGGACTATCATGTCAACTGAACAAAAACTGAAAATCGACGCGAACACTCATTTGTCTTATAAAAAAATATCAAACTTTTGTAGTTTAGGAATATCATGAAGCATATTCAATAATAATGGATGAAGGTATGTCCAATATTTTGGGAAACCTATATCTCACTAAAATCAACTTTTATTAAAATCTTACTGAAAAAACTGGCATCGCTGTAAGAGTCGTGCTTGTGCGAAAGTTGCGCTGGATTTGAAACGGTGCAAATTAAATTCATTTGAAAAAACGTTTTCAGAAAGTGTACTCCACATGAACGCAGTTCTCCAATTGGAAGAGTTTTTAAACAGTGAAAATCGAGGTGTACTGAGTTGAACCACAAAACGATGAGCAGCCACAATCCATCGCGTATTTCTGATAAGTACCGCTCTTGTTGGAATCGAATGTACCAAGTCACTTGAACACTTCCCGTGAAAGTATCTATGAAAAAGAGACGAATCTCCAAGCCTTCTTCGATGTTCCAGACTATCAAGATTGCAAGTTATGTTCCTGTCTCCAAACAGACGAAAGGTTCTTCACTAGTTGGACTCAGCAGCTTCAGAGTATGCTTATGGAAGAAGCCTCATACATGTGAACAATACGTCAAAAGAGGTCTGATCTGAGCTTCATGAAGCATCAAAAGATGCTGAGGTGTGTACAGTGTTCTGGTTCGGAGCAGTGCTCCAAGCTTTTGAGAAGCAGCCTCTGCAATTCCAGCGACATGATTGTGCCAAAACATTTTAACCCACAACAAACTTGTCGATGTAGTCCGCGGAATTATCTGTCCTGATATTATTATATCCGGTTCGGAGACATTTATTTTTTTGGAGAAAACTGATGGTTGGATTTTTGTGGCATTGAATTGAACCTGGTTACTTTCACCCCAATTCGAAATCACCACTAGATCCTCATTAAGATATACAACCTCCTGCTGTCAGTGAAGATGTACATCCGCAGCCGATGTGTTGGAATCCATATGGAATGATGAGGAAAGTGTGCTTTCGTCAGCAAAGTAATATATTGAATTCCTATTCCATTTCACTATAGATCCCTGGGGAATACCTAGAGCAAGTATAAGTATGTGATGAAAAACGGTTTTATTTCTGGAGGCTACAATTGAATACACCTCGAACTAAACTTTGTGGAATGAACTTCTCCATATGATTCTTTTCAAATTAATTCAAATCGCTACTTCCATTGAAGCACCGCTGTCGAAGCGTCTGAATGAATGACATGCATCTCGCATGTCCATAAAAGTCGTCTATGTTGTTTGTCTTCCCTTCTGAAATTCGAATTCTAGGTGGTAAAGACGTACAATTGTATATGTGTACAATTATTCCACTATTTTTGTTATGGGGACTACTTATTCCATCCAAATTGTATTTATTCGGTGAGAAATATATACCACCTCCAGTTTAACATCGACTTATATTTATTTATCTATTTAGCAGCTTGGGGAAACATACAGACAAGTCCAAAAGTAGTGTCCACTGATTTTAGATACAGTGAATTGATAGTGTTTATGGAGATTATTACAAATATAGAGTGATACTGCATGACATTAAATGATATCATTGAAATATGGAAAAAAATGAGTAAAAATAAAGAATTGTACATACAAGCATTTTGTATGTACATACATGTACATACAAATATATTAAAATTTGAATTATCGAAGTTCAACGAAACCGACGAGTTTTAATAATGAGTTATAATGTTGCTGTACCAAAGTTGAAAATATTATGATTTGGTGAATTTCACTAGTTCGGACTTCCATTGTCTTCCACTTAGTGTCGGTCCTCTTCACCAGAACGTCTAAGAATGGCAATTCGTTGTGGATTTCCTTCTCCATTGTGAAATTGATGGAAGGTCTCACGCTGTTGATGTGTTCCATAATATGGAACCATAATACAAAGATTCCATCATTTTATTTGTTTCGTTTGCAATTTTGTTTATATGTGCTTCGAAATTGAGTAGATACTTAAAAACTTTTTTCTTACAGGCTACCGGAATGATACGCTCGAGATGGACAGAAAATGTACCCATACCAGGAACAAATATATCATGATAAGTCTCATACTTATATTAGGTGTTTCCGTAGTTCAATCCTGTGCTACCGATCAGGAAGTACGGGATGAAAGTGTGTTAGATCGAGAACTTAAGAACTATGTAGATCGGATTTTTGCCGTAGAAAACTTTATTATCGTACCAGGAGTTAAAATTGAAGAAATCAACGATAGAAACCAAAGTATAGTCAACGTAACAAATATCTGTGAGAATGGCAGGAGTGTGGAAAGTGTGGAGGACTATGTTGGAAAGAAAATCGATCAGTTTGCTGGTAGTCACGTGCTATCTGTTAATTTTGAGGAGACTGCAAGATTCCTGACATCCACACCAACAAGTAAGTATTATTTGAAAGAATATTTTTTTATTGAAAACTTCACAATGTGCTCAAACTCAGTTAGTGACAATTCTCTCAGTTTCATAACCTCAAATATAGTTTTTGGCTTTGAAAATGACAATTAACTTTTCAAGCAAAGAATTAGAAAAGAGAAAAAGTGAAGGACAAACAGGTTTACATTGTATCGACAAGTGATCGACGTTAAAAAAAACTTCACGTACTGAATTTTGAGACGCCATCACTGCTCGGCTGAAGTAAATGGTATGCCTGAGAGAAATTAAATTATACCGTATAGAGATACATACATTTAAGAAAATAAATATTTCAATGGAATTTCCAAACATTAATCCCTCCAAATTCACCCACACAATGGAAAAACAGATAGAGCTATTGCTTTCTCTCAGGGAATACTGTCGAGCCGCGTTGAGTCCCAGGTAATGAAAGGTAATACCCCGAAACCCGTCTGTATGTGATCCACTCGATTGATTTCAGCGTGGTCGTGCTGCTTGGTTAACGAGTAGCATTTGTTTCTGAGGTATCTTGCATATACTCTTCATGATAATAATTACAAATTTTCACAATAAGGACTTATTTTCCAATGCGTGTTTCACTGCAGTTGGACTGAGGGCATTCATCAGAACCCACTGTGTAGGTAAGTTAGGAAAAAAATCTTCGAAATTCAATTTCTGAATAATTATATTTTCATTCGTTTTGCCTGGTATGAGTAATTTGAATTCATATATGTATCTGAGAAAGTAGCAAGGAAAATTATGTTTTACGATGATATTAGGTACATCAATAATATAGTTTTCAATTTATATCGATTTATACGATATATTAGTATATTAGTTGATTATCCTGCATTCAAGCATACTATTTAGTGATCAAATTGAATAACTGTTTGTTACTTCTTGTTATCAGTCAGTTGAATTGAGTATTAAACTTACTGAATCATTTTTTTCTATATACAAATTCAAAATAAAATTTCATGAACATATATTTCACATATGATAACTAAATTATAATACATAAGTACCGATTTTGATATAATTTTTTTTTATTGAAATTCAATTCGTGCATACCCGTTAGGTCTGCATTCACGGAACGGGAAGGTTTTGTACCGAGAAAGGATTATAGGTCCTCCACTCACGAGACAAGAAGTTTTCTTAATAGCTATCAGCTATCAGTCCACCTTGATCTTGACTGAAAATGTGCAGAATTTCTTTCTTCCCATTCTGCTTCTCAATGCGCAAATCAAGAATTCAATTCAATATCAGCAATGTGTTTAAGGATACACCTAAGCGGCATTTTATACGTCAATTCGGAAACAATAATTCGGTACTCGACATGGATTGAATTGATATCGTTATTAGTCAATAAGCTTCAGCCATTCAGGTATATTTCTGAAAAAGTACCGTCTGAAAAATAAGAAATCCGTGCTGATGGGCCTTGGTCGAAAATAACTTGTAGTACCAATCATTCCATCTGTTATCACCGCAGATGGTGTAGGCTTGAACTTCGAGATACTATTTTCGTGTCTGCAGTCAATGCTCAGATCACTGAAGATTGCTACCGCAGTAGCAGACGAAACATAGAATACTACACGTTCATTTCCACCACGGCCTTTCAGCCCAAATTATGTTCTCTCTAATCTTGATTACGGCCGTCACGACCTGAGTCCTTATATCATTCTACGAAAAAAGTCACAAAGAATACGGGAACATTCGTACATATAGTAAAAGAAATTCAACAAAACCTTGCGGAATTTTTGACTGTCTATATAATGTGTTTTAACACCCCCCTTTTTAAAGGAAGATAACACGTTTATTTGAACAATTTCATAAGAGTCAAGAGGTAGAGATGCAACTTTACAAACTTCATTTCATTCGCCTAGGAAGTGGAACAGAGGCAAGAAGGTTTCAATCTCGAATTTCCGCCGTTTGGAAGCCTTTCCTCTCTCACTACCCTGACAAGTCGATACAACTCCGATCTCGCTGCGATGAAAAGTGTCGTTCCTGGTGTTACTTCAGTAACAAAACGTTACCTTTTGATGTTTGAAATTACTAATTTACGTTTTTTTTGTCTCATTTTGTTACATTTTGAGAAACTTCCAACTGACAGTTTACGCATCAGAACTGACAAGTGACGTATCAAAACTGACAGTTGACCTAGCATAACTGAGAGTGAACGTATCAAAACCGACAACTGGAAAGCGTCATCACAGGTCTTCACAGGTCATCACTATCACTTTTGAAGATAAATCAGCTAGTGATACCAACCTCTCGGCACGGAATGCTGCGTTTTGTTTGTGACTCATTCTAAGGTTTTCCAACGATGCCACTTTTTTCCATACAATCTGTCACATTTTTTGGACAGGAACAACACTGCTCATAAAATATTCTTCAATCTGTTAGTATTGGAGCGTTCTGAAACAGAAACTTCAGCGATAATGATAGTGTGGATAGGTTTCTTCGGTCTTTCTGTTGGGATATTTCATAAAACCATAGTATGGATACACCGACATGATATAATTCTGTATGATATGAAATTCAGTTTCGTCTACAACATGAATTTTCAGGATAATAAATCAACAATGTAATAGAATCGCGGTACTTGATTGAGAAAACATCGAAAAATTTACACTATTCTTCGAATAAAAGAGTTTCTGATTCCGTGATGAAGTGAGTTTAACTTTGAAGCGACGGCACCCCCATTTTTCCAGGTACTTCTGGAACATTTGTTTTTGAAAAAAATCAAACGTGCTGAATAAGTCAAAGACTACCCATCTCCAAGTATATGTATTGAAGAGACGAATCTCCAAACTATTTGCGATGTTTTAGACTATATACAGGTTGCTTACAGGCAAGTAGATTTTTTCTGAACAGAATCACAGTTCACGAGTATTTCTGGGAACATAATTCAAAGTGGTATTTGACCTTCATAAAGCTTCAAAAGTTGGTGTAGGCAATATAGCGTTTCAGTTCATAACAGTGTTTTAGGTTTCTCATAAGCTACTTTCATCTCTCCAAAAAGGTAATGAAATATCGATAATGTACTGTACAACTGTACAGATATTGCCGTGAATATATTGGAGATCTTTGTAGTTTTTAATTATTCAGATTGTGTCAGTATCAAAAACTCAAGTTCAGTTCATTTCAGTGCAGATATTCGTCCGGTGTTTGAGGAATATTCTGAGAAACTAGCTACTTTCAATTGGAAAGTAGTTCGAAAAGCTTTTTTCATGCAAATATAAATCTGACTGTAATGAAACATTGCTAAATTTTGCAAACTTTTTGCAGGATTTTTGGTGAAGTGTCTTTCAATGTGTCTAAGTACTGCAGTAATATTTTGAATGATTTATGAGAATCGAAATACAAATACGTGTTTTCTCTCGACTTTCTGAAGGAAACATCCACTCAACAAATTTCACTTATTATTGGATGAGCAGATAACTAACACGGGTTTTTCAAATCCAAATTTCTTCACGAAATATCATTTTATTGCTTTCAACTTCCAATCCACAAGTATTTCCAATCTTCAATTCGAAGTCATCGGTATCCTGGAATAATTTTTGTTCATTTTCTGATTCTCCTGAGGATAAATATATGAGAAATCTCGAATAACTAGTTTGATGCCTTCTTACAAACATACTATACCCATTTCTAAAGAGGAATTAAGAAATATTATAGCATATCCGAGATAATTCTACTGCAATACACTAGAAACTAAAAGTATCGTATATTTCATGTAATCCAAAGTACTTTGAAATTCATCAATAATACATATTCATATTCCGTTCGCTTTACCAATCATTTTGAATATTTCATTAAATGTTCGATGCATTTGAAGAAATGAAATGCCATACTACGTTGACAAATATCAAGGGCATGGGTATTCGAAAACAGATTTCTCAGTATAACATAAGTTGCGTTCGTCATGTCGCTCTCTTAGGGGAAGAAAGTTTTGGGTTGTGATTGTCGGGGGACACTAACTACTAACATCAACACACTTGAGGGTTAGACTAATTTTCGAATTTATACTCCCGTGAGATATTCAATCGGACCCTTATTATTGTTACTGACGGTTACCAGAAACTACTTCTGATAAAATACTGAGTTCAGTTTGAGTAAAGCCTAGATGATGATAGCACGACCAGCTGTCGAAAGCGCTTGCAGATAATTAAATAGAAGTTATGAAGCTTCAAATCCTTTTTGTGACTCACATTGATATCAAAATGCTGAAAATAAAGGGAAATTAGCTATTTTTAACAAGTACTTTCTTGGTTTTTTCTCATTTTGTCTTCAATCGAGGACCGCCTGCCCTGTACTGACGATGCCCAATAGGCTGAAACAGCTATCTACCGGTGGCTCTTAATNAAATCCAACAGTATATAAATCAAACCGTGCAATACGCCATACAAAACAAACATAATTTCCCCCCACCAGAGAACATAAAAGTCATAAAACAAGTCAACAAGGGAAACCGCATGGACATTTGGGAAAACTTGAACATCCATAACTTTAACAGTCATAAATCACTTATCGAGGAACAAGTACAAATCAAAACACAACAAGAACTCACATTCAATATATTAAACAAAACCATACACATTCCTAGAGAAGATGTAACACAAAACAGATTACCTGATGCAGAACAAATACAGGCAAATTTACCTGAAGTACCTGAAATACCTGAGCTGACCGTATAAAGAGGCAGACAACAGGATGACCAGTTCAGTTTGTGGGTGCCTAGAAGATGACAGTACTAGCAACTGTCGAAAGCGCTCGCAGATAATTAATAGAAGATAGAATTTAATATTGAAATACTCAAAATAAAAGAAAATTAGTTGCATCAATCAGAATATATAAAATTGATAGTAGAATGTCCGTCAAATTTTTAACAGTTATTGTTGCAATGATGTTGTCTCTTCAGGAAAGAATAGAAATAGTTTTGATATGTGGTGAGAATACACCATACCGGCAAGTAGCTTACATTTTTAA